AATTTTAGTAGAAATATCATTTTGTTAAAATTCATTATATAATATAGTAATTATTTTAGGAAATTAAAAGAAATTTTGAACGATTCGAAGTTAATTTAAATTTCAACCAAATTATAAAAGATTATATTCTAATTTAAGGAACTACAGGGATATAGAGCAGTAGGCAGACAGTGGTAAACCATGAGTATCATCAGCCTCACCATCCACGTGGCACATTTCCATGGCCTTAGTACTTAGTTATATAACTAAGTACATCCAAAGGAATGTTGTCTTCCTCGAGGACTGGATTGTTGCTCAGCTGCTCAAAAAATTCGCTGTCTTTAGTGAAGCTTAACGTACACAAAACTGTCCAACTGTCTTCCTTATAACAACTCTGAATAAACCGCGTAAAAAACACCGTTTCCAACAGTTCCTCTATTGTTGCGCGCGGAATCGTTACCTTGGAAACTTGTTTGCTTCTGAAGACATTATCAGAAACGGTTGCGTATATTTGCTTATTTGAAATCTGTTGCCTAGCAGCGGATGTTACGTTGTCTGTTTAGCTGCTACCTAATAACGAGTTTAGACGCTACAGTAAAATATGCATATTCCTGCTTTCTGTTAGTGTTAAAATTGAGAAATTTAGAATTTTGGTAGTTGCTTTAATTTATTTATGTTGTTTAGTGTAGCCTTATGAATATTAGAATCATGTTATTTTCGTTGTTATTTTTGTGTGCAATATGCAAAGATGTATGCTAATGTATGTTATGTGCCATGCTTATGTAAAGCTTAAGTTATCCCTGTGCTTAACTAATTAAATACTACACCATGAAGGAGTATGGTGGAGTGGATGTATAGATCCACTTTTCTTGACCTCGGCACTAGTTGGAGGAGAGTGGTCAGCTTCAAGCTCCGGTTGCTTTAGACCCAGCGAAATAGCCACCGGTACCCACTGGATATGAGGCTGGGAGGGCCCCAGAGCCGGTCTTGACGACATGGAGAAGAGAAAATTCGTTACCCTACCGGGACTCGAACTCCGACCCCTCGGTCTCCCAGCCCGTAGACAGTCCTACACCGACTGATTTACTCGGGCTTTTCAATGTTTATGTGTCTTTATGTTACTTTATTTACATACTTACATATCCATAATTATGTTCCCACTCAGTTTCTAAAGTCGAGTGTATGTCGGTTATTATTTGTGTTCTGTGTGATTGTTTGCGCTTGTATATATTTAGTGTGTGTGTGTGTGTGTGTGCTGCCATCTGTCGCAAAGCTCCTGTAATATCTGATATATGGGGTTGTATGTTTCGATGTACATGTCGTTCATAAGCAAGTTGTCCATACTAATTTCATAAACGTATAATTTTTCCAAGGTATTTAAATGTCTGTCCTTCCTTCTGTCCGTATGACAACCACAGTATCTGTTATTGTTCCGTATGTATGTCATGTGGTTTCAATTTCCGGAATTGCTGTTGTTTTTCTGATGGCTTGAATGTTTTCTTTGTGTCTAATATTGAATGTTCTTCTTGTATGCTCGAAGTACTATAGTGGAATATAGCAAATAACGCATATTAATAATAATACTTTGAAAGTATTACACATTACAGAAAAGGCGGACTCAGCGTGAAGAAGGCAGCGCAATTAAAGACAAAGAGCGATGTTCTCAAGGAAATGTATTTTAATGATTGAATCACGAAACTGGAATAACGCTGCAATATTTTAAATTAAGAACTAATGCAGTGTAGTAACGTCAAAAAACGAATATTTCCCTGAGGATGATCAAGTATGGTCGAAGCATATAGCAGTTTAATTTTAATTTTAATATTATTTTAAGTTGAGGAGTAATTGTAAAGTTGCTTTAAATAGGGAGTAACTGTGTAAAGTAAGGGCCGCGCCATAGTTCAAGCAGTTAGTCTCTGGCTTCCTTCCGCGGAGGCCCGGGTTCAATCCCGGGTCTGGTCAAGTGGGATTTGTGGTGGACAAAGTAGCGCTGGGGCAGGTTTTCTCCGACTACTTCGGTTTCCCCTGCCAATCTTCATTCCACCAATTGCTCCACAATCACCCTCACCTATCATCTGGGGCTGGTACAATAGGCCAGAAGTGGCCGCAGTACAAGGGACTTAGTCCCACCCCACTAGCAACAAAAAAACTGTGTAAAGTTACAAGGAAAGTAGATTAAAGGCACTTTTCACACCAATATAGTAAAATACGTAAATATTGTCAGGCAACACTGAATTTATCAGTCTACGATTACGAAGCCATAACAGGGAAAACGTCAGTCTCTACAGCTGTACTTCGAACGCAAGTGTCGCTGCGGACTGTATTATAAATAACAGTGATTTTACTCCAACTCTAACTGCTGGACATTGCGTGACAGCAACTAGACACGCCGTGGCACTGAACGTAGATGGCAGGCCTATCGTTTTACTGCACATGTCACCCCACATCAACATCCCTCTGCCACACTCCACCTCTGCCCACCAGCAACATATGTTCAACCACAAAACCACAGAAATTGTAAATAATATTAAATCGTTTTGGGCGATAGGTTCACATTATTCATCCTACGGTGCCAACGCTAACGAAGCCTAAACTTATCCATACTGAAGAGTGTCCAATTGTGTTTTCCAGTGAGAGTGGGGACTGTATAGGGGACGAAGGGTGGTTTGTAGGGTGACGTAACGGACTGTATGTCTCGTATGTCTCATACCAAAATATAAGTCTGCCAGGGCTCCATTAGTACTCACAATTTATAGCAAATCTAACAGCTTGAATCAAGATGAGTTACTGTTCATTTTATTGGACAGTAAACCCGTCTGAAATTATCAGACTCCAGTGCATATCTCTGTATATAAATAATTCAGAGGCGATGTTTCAATAGCTAACTCCATGGAGCTGACACTCGATCAATTACACAGCTTTTTATGGAATCCAAAAATTTGTTACTGTGCTCAAAACAGCCAGCCACTGGTCCCTACCTGAAACGTATCTAGTTAGCAACCTGAAATTCCACTTCTTTGAGATATATTTTAATATTATCCCTCCATCTATGCCTAGGTCTTACTATTAGTTCCACCTTTCGGGTTTTCTGACTAAAATTATTCACTCTCCTCACGTATTGTGCGTGTTATTCCTGGACGACACATTTTGATTTCAGCACATTAATAAAATCTATTGAATAGGAAAATAATAAAGCTCTTGGTTATGAATTGCTCTTAACCCACTGTTACCTCCTCTTATTTTTTTTATTGCTAGTGGGGTGGGACTAAGTCCCTTGTACTGCGGCCACTTCTGGCCTATTGTACAGTATAGCTACAGTAATCTGAGAATAGTATAATAATTATAGTTACGGCTTACGAATATCCAATAAATCGGTTAGCCAATCCAAACCCCTTCCACAAGTCACTAATACGAGTGACAATATTTAGAAAACACTGCTTTAGGCTGGAGCCACACGAGCGCACAATAGTACGTCCGTTGTAACGAATGTACTTTGATGAGGACGCCACACAGTTGCAGACTGCGGTGCGTAGTTTTTTGTCTGCAATGGAGCCAGAAGAAAGAGTAGCATTCGCCTCTCTTTTTTATTTCTACAACGGACGTCACGAAGTTCGTTACAACAGACGTCACGAAGTTCGTTACAACGGACGCATTTTGAGCGCTCGTGTGGCCCCAGCCTTAGTATCTACTCGCGCCCTCTTCTTCTATATACCAATATTTAACGTTTGCTGTAAGCGGAGCGAGTGCCCTATTGATACCAGTTTATATCGTTCAATTTATGGGTTTATCTGTGAAACGATTCGTGGAATAGATTCCAAAGGGTTCTGACAATGGGGTGTATAAAGCGGTCTCCGTAGTCTAGGGGTAACGTTCCCACCACATGACTCAAGGTACTCGGGTTCAAACCCGGCGGAAAAATTCAGGGAACAAGTCCCCCGGGAGGGACTTTAAGCCGTGGGTCCCGTGTCGTAGATTTACGGCACGTAAAAGATCCTCATGTCTCTAGCAGACCTCTGAGCAAAATTAGGCAAGTTTCCCGCCCAAGTAGTTTCCAGTGCCTCTGGTAGATGGGGGAAGCATCGGGTGCCGAGGTACTTTTCCATCGTAGCACAGATTTCTACATCCTTTTCTATCCCAATTCCACGCATGTGCATGCTCTATCACAATTTTTATTGTCTATTTTCTTGTTATATCCCTCCGAATTAGCCTGGTCTCAGGCGATTAATTAGCTGTGTAAATCTGGCAGGGTTTATCCAGTGATTAGGATTAGTTCTTTCTAAGGGGTTCAACTTAGTAGGCGTCTTCCCCTTTCACCTGAGGACGGAAACAGACCAAGTGTCTGAAACCTCGTGTTTTCTTTTCTCTAGAACACCAGACGATGGGAAAAGTCCAAGAACCCAGTAAATTCTGTGCGATTTGTGGAATGCTGAAATAATATTGTGGACATTTCGAATAATCAAACTAACAAACAGATCTTAGAGAAAAATGTCATTTAGGTTCCTTTCAAGCTTTTATTAGAGTCTACCTACTTTCACGGAAAAGCCAATCCTACGGACACGTGAAAAGGCTAAGAGGAATTGCAGGATAGCCTTCCCTTTATATTAGATCCTTCAACAATTGTAGAGGCATTTCTTTCATTGAGTCACACACAAAAGACCGTGGAACTGAAGCATACGTAGCATACATAGCATTCCGTCGTAGCATTTACGTTGGAAACACAACTACAGCTCTCTCCAATACTGTAGCAAGTTAAAAGTTTTCTTTTTTTTCCGTGTCATGGCATTTTAGAAGCTGTCTCACCGATTCAGTATTGTGTTTCAATACGTCATGAGTTTGCCATGTTAGCGTGAAAAGTGCATTTGTGTAGGTGAATGTATTTCATCCAACATCTCTCTTTCTACATCTTCTTCAAGTCTCTTCTCATTTTCCATTAGCTTCTGCATAACACGGGCGTTTGTCACGGAGACTCTAACACACATACGTTCAAGGTCACTTTAAAATCATAAACATAAATTTTGTAGTTAGTGGTCTGGTTATCTTTGTCTCTTGTTTCCAGCGCCTTTTGGATTGTTCATCACTGTTCAGAGCCCATCACAGTGGCCGTGCGGTCTAAGGCATGAACTCTCTTCGCTTGCCCGAACGCTGGGATCGTGGGTTCGAATCCCACTCAAAGCATGGATGTCTATGTATGCGTTTATTCAATGTTTGTGTTGTTCTGTGTGTAGGGAGAGGTCTTGCGACGGGCTGATCCCTCATGCAAGGAGTCCTACTAACTGTGTACACATAAAGAAACCGAAAAAGCGGCCAAGGTCCAACAAAATATGTAGAGCAATAATAATAATAATAATAATAATAATAATAATAATAATAATAATAATAATAATAATAAGTAATCACTATTCAAAGCATTAGTTTTGGTATTATTTGGCCGCAGTTTCAAATCCAAATTAAACAATAATATCCACAGAAACCTGTAACCTTTGAAGTTTTCATGGTAGTGAAAATCAAGGTTAAGGTAGGCCTAACACCGGCATGCGTCAAGACATGTAACAGTTAAGACACGATGTCTGCGACATGACGCAAAGAAAGAAGCACAGTGGAAACGAATGAGATCATGAAAAACCGCCGCACACCTCAGTCATCATGCTGACGAATCATGAATGAGGCAAGACTGCGTCTTTTGTCTCTTTTCTTGACGCGTTCACTTGAGCACGTCACTGGTCACCATCATGATTCGTGGAAAATGACTTGGTACGGAACGCATTTTCCATGCCAACGGAATCAACAAACAGTTTCCATGGACACGCGGTAGACTGTACAAGGGCCTTGCAGAGGAACGATTTATTGCAAGTGAATTCAGAAGTTCAGCTGTGGAGTGTTACCCAGCGGACACCGGAAGCTGCAGAAGTGACCGATTCGCAAATCAGAACCAAGTCAGTCACGCGGAAGAGAAGACGTTCGTAGTCCAGTAAGAAATGGAGCGAATCATAAATTATGAGCTGTTGTAATCAACTGCAATTGTAAAGGCGGCAATAAATTCAATTATCCAATCCGGAACCCGTTTATTCGTCACGTAAACCCCTCATAGTTTAGTAGACCAGCGATAGAAGCACATAACAGGAAGATGGCGTCGTCCTTGGCTCGATTTACTGCGAAAATGTAGAGAATGGTACATCCCGGAATCTAGGCAACCAGTTCTACATCACTACAGCGCCTCTTGCTGCAATAAACAGAACTTACACCAGTACCGTAAATGCTTTGTAAACATTCTCCAGTAATTCGAGGAGTCTGAACACAGATCTTATTTTAATCATTTTAAGTAATATTTTTTTATTGCTAGTGGGGTGGGACTAAGTCCCTTGTACTGCGGTCACTTCTGGCCTATTGTACCAGCCCCAGATGATAGATGAGGGTGATTGTGGAGCAATTGGTGGAATGAAGATTGGCAGGAGAAACCGAAGAACTCGGAGAAAACCTGCCTCAGCATTACTTTGTCAACAACAAATCCCACTTCGGGATCGAACCCAGGCCGCCGCGGTGGGAAACCAGCGACTAACCGCTTGAGCTATGGCGCGGCCCAATTTTCTTGCATTTGATGGGTTGCTAATTTCTATATCTGGTCTGCTGTTGCATGTCTCGTGTACAAGGCTCAAGCGGTGTTGTTTGATATGTGTGGGAGACCTTTGGTACATGGAATGGTATTGATATTAACTTCTCTTATACTACTTACAATAACTTATGAAATGTAAACAATAAAATGCAACATTTCGTATTAAAACAATGGGATTTATCATGCGATATCCCAGAAATATTTGTTTAAATAAACTACGAGATCATAATGACACTCACTGGTGTAAGACCTGCTACACTTACCTCCGAGCCGATCCCCCAAGCTATGACGACGTTGTTGCAGTTGAAGAAGATGGGGGGCATGGGAGACTGATAACACACCTGCCCCCTCTCTTTGGCGTGCACTTCGAACTCAGCCTCGCTACCCTGACACTCATACACTATCACACGGTGTACGTGGGTGCGGTTTACAGGCTCTCGGAGAGGTACGTACTGTAACGAGACAATTAAGTTAACTCTCTTACAGCGGGCTTCAAAGGGCAGAAATGAAGCTTATTAGAGAACATTACTTTAAGAGAGAAGAGACGTGTGCGAAGTTTGGTTAATGTAACTAGTTCATGACTGGATGGCAGAGTTTGTTTCGCGCAATGTTATTACCGGCTTGAGAGGGTGGGACTCTCTGGATAGCCCTGTCCAGGGGCTCTATTTCGCCTCATTTTGCCTTGAGGAAATCCATATTAAATCGTAAATACTGACGCTCTTATATTTTTGACGCGTCTTATTCTAATTACATCATGCACCTCACAATATTAATAGCATTTGTAGTGGAAAATAATTATGAATTTCGTAAAATTAAAAACATAGAAATAAAAAGGTTTTGTAACTCAAATTATTCATGAAGGATATTAGTACTTCTGGTATGCTTATGCTTCGTGTGCAAGATGAAGTGGTGGGTATAAGCGCGAGGGTGTGAGAGGGTGGGGGGTGCGAACTCTATACTCTAGGCCCTCAGAACTTTTCCCGCACTGCTAGCAAGTCTAGGCCTGCATGTAGCTGGTTCAGTAGCTACAGAGGTTGCTTTGCTTTAAGTCCAGTGATGGTCACTTGTAACAGTTCGAGGATAAAGCTTCAAGCCCATGGCGCACCACATGTGTTCATCTTAGCTCCTTTTCTTTATGAGTTCTTGGACGTTGAAAACCCGTACTATAAATGTAGAAATAACAAATTAAGATTTTGGATACCCACGGTTATGAATATTAAGATTACGATTTTCGGGGATACAATGATTTGTTTTATACTTTAGATAGCTACCAACTTTTCGGAGGGGGGCACGCGGTACCGTAGTTAGTTGAGGCACTATGCTACAAGCCGGAAGGTCACGGGAACGAATACCGATGAGGTGGATTTTTTTCAGTTCACCTAATCCTTCCAGCCGCACTATGGCCCTGGGGTCGACTCAGCCTCTAACAGAAATGAGTACCAGGAATATTCTTGTGGTAAAGGGCGGCCGGCGCGTAAGGCTGACAACCTTACCGCCATCTATGAGCCGACTGTCTAGAAAATGTGGGAGCTTCAACATCTCACAACCATATGGGCCTCCACGGCCTGTTACAGGGATAGCTTTACTTTACTATACCAAACTTTAGGATGAACTTATTGCATTTATGTTCAAGGTATAAGATGGAGGCAAAATCTTCCTCCGAAACGTCTGGATTTACTTGCCAGACGTCTTGATGACACATCGCAGAAGACTGCAATTTAAAGCAGGAATTGATCATTCGGCAAAAGCTCAAGAACAGGGGGCATAATGTTCAATTAAACCCCCAATAACTCTTCTATCGTACTGAAAAGTAAAGTAAAGCTATTCCTTAACAGGCCGTGGAGGCCCAAAGGGTTGTGAGATGTTGAGGTTCCCACATTTTCTAGACAATCGGCTCAAAGATGGCGGTAAGGTTGTCGGCCTTACGCACCGGCCACCCTTTATCCCCAAGAAGTTTCCTATTACTCATATCTGTTAGAGGCTGAGTCGACCCCAGGGCCACAGTGCGGCTGGAAGGATTAAGTCAATTGAAAAAATTCCAATGACCTCATCGGGACTTGAACCCGCGACCTTCTATCATACTGGGGAAAGCAAAAATGCTACCGCTTGGAATTGCACTATAACCTACTACTTCAGATTTGAGTGCATTTTAAAATATGTGAATCCATTTCTGGAAATTACTTGTATTGTACATGCGAAGTTTAAGGGTCATAAACTAAGGAACATTCAAAGCTGCATAGTACGAACGAAGAATATAACCCTCTCCTATCAGAACATTTTGCATTTGAACGGTCAGTAAGAGAGTGACCCCATTCAGCAGACCCTTCTAGAGAAGCCCATGGTCACTTAGCCCGTAAAAAAAACTCCAGGTATATTAGGGACACGAAAGTTCATGACCATGTTGACTGGAGCCCACATAGACCCACTATACTGAGCCAGATGTCACTTCAGTCCACACCCCTTCACCATAATTACGGTAACATGCATTTTAACGTTACCTTAAAATGTACAATTCAGCCTTCCAAAACGTCTCTTCAATTTAGTTATTTTCTCCAAATTCTGTATACATTTCTTACAGTCCTCTTGCGTGCTACATGCCGAGTATATCCTAACCTCATTCATTTTACTGTCATAATAATATTTCTGAATAAAGACCGTGAATACTGGACCGTGAAAGTAGATAAAGACTTCTATTTTGAAGGTACCAGCTTCGAATTAATAGCTCGCCTAATGTTCATCGTGCCGGTCACGGTAGCCGAGCGGTCTAAGGCGTGCACTGTCTTCGCTCGCTTGGAAACCGGGACCGTGGGTTCGGATCTGTTTCCTGTGAGGTACGAACTGAATTCTTATATATTATTCTTATACACTTCCGGTCACGGTAGCCGAGCGGTCTAAGGCGTGCACTGTCTTCGCTCGCTCGGAAGCCGCGATCGTGGGTTCGAACCCCACTCAGAGCATGGATGTTTGTGTTCGTTTTCCTGTGTTTGTGTACAGGTAGAGGCCTTGCGACGAGCTGATCACCCGCCCAAAGAGTCCTACCGAATGTGTAAGATCAAGAAAAACCGAAGTGAACGGAGAAGTTCATGGAGGTAGGCCTAGGCCCACTGGGACTGTAGTGCCAAGGGGGGGAAAAAATGTTCATCGTGGTTTTCCTAGTCACTTTATATCAATTTGGGGCTGTACCTGCAAATATACTATTAGCACCTCCTTTCAAATCCCTCGTTACCATTAGTAATCGTACTTATATCTCATTCAAGGCTACAAAATCTGTGTTTACTAAAACAGGCCGATAACTATTTTTTTTAATTCGCTTAATGGGGGGTGGAGTCCTGTTGGGTCCACTCGGCACGGCGGCCACTGACTGGTCTAATGTACCTGCCCCGAGTGATTATGATTATGGAGAATTTGGTGGAATGAAGATTGGCAGGGGAAACCCGTTATTATTAGTTACGAAACGTCGGACATGCGACGATATTGTTATTGTGCACGATGTTATGCGCGCCTTTCAATGAGTCGGACACTGTTGCCAACAAGTCGGATCGACCAGTAACACACAGTTCACTTCATGGCTGCGCCAGTAAGAGGAAATATTGAAAAGCTATGCTGATCACAGTTGCCGCGCCGTCTAAGGCCTGAACTGCCTTCACTTGCTCTAAAGCTGGGATCGTGACTTCGAATCCCACTCAAGGCATTGATGTCTGTATTTTGTGCGTTTATTCTCTATTTGTGTTGTCCTGTGAGTAGGTTACGGCCTTGGGAGAGGCTGATCCCCCGTCCGAGGAGGCCTACCGACTGTGTATAGGATCAAGAAACTAAGAAAGCGGCCAAGGTCCAATAAACGGCTTTAGAACTATATTCAATTCAAGTCTTTATAATTTATGTGCTGAGCCAACAGCCGCAAGGCCAATTACAGACAGAGCACAGTGTAGATACAGGTGATCACATTATGGACAAACACAACATAAAGTCAAAGACAAATTACAGGCAAGCGCTGGAGGGAAAACAAAAACAACAACAACAACAATAATAATAATCATTGAAATGCTGTGAGAAGTTCAGTAACTATGTAAAGGCCCAATTTTCTTCAGAGAAGCAGAAATTACCCACTTCAGAGTGTCGTGAGATTCAAGCCCTAAACTATAGTAGTTTGGTTCGAGATATTTCCATAACTGTGAGCTGCAACTTTTAGCCTGTCATGACAGGGATACGCAACACGTCTGCAGTGTAAAACTTGTTGGAGTTCTGAAATGTTTATTTCTACTGACGATTTAAACCTTTCGTCTGGGTAGAGTGGGTGGTAAGGTAAAGTTGTCCCTGTGCTTAACCACTTAAGCACTAGGCCACGAAGGCGTATGGGGGAGTGGATGTATAGATCCACTTGAACTTGCACATGCCACTATCTGCTTGGCCCTGCATCACCGCAGTCAGGCGGGAAGCAGCTCTTTCCACGAATTGATGACGGTCTGCGCTGCGTTTGGAGGTACGTTGTCATCTTGGTCGCCATGCTGACGGAGTGGGTGGTGTGCCTCCATTTTATATGTGACGTGACGGAGAGACCGGAGTTTGGCTATCCTGAAGTGATTATCTCGTCTCTATCCAGAATAATTGCGGGATAGTATCTCAAATAGCCTCGACGGCTTCCTTCAACATCCTCGTTAATACAGACATTATTCACTAAATATCCCTCCGCGTGACGCCATGTTTCTGAAGTACGTTGAACAGAAACTAAACCTCAAAGGTCTAAACATTTGTTGCTGCTATGCAAATACATGAGGATGAGGCGGGCAGGGCATGTAGCACGAATAGGGGAGACGAGGAATGCATACAGGATATTGGTGGGAAAGCCAGCAGGAAAGAGACCACTGGGAAGACCAAGGCGCAGGTTGGTGAACAATATTTAAACGGATCTTAGAGAGATAGGATGGGATGGTATGGATTGGATAGATCTGGCTCAGGATAGGGACCAGTGGAGGGCTCTTGTGAACACGGTAATGAACCTGCGGGTTCCATAAAATGCTGGGAAATTCTTGAGTAGCTGCAGAATTGGCGGCTCCTCAAGAAAGGCTCAGCTCCATTAGTAAGTAAGTAATGCAGACACATTCGAATGATTAAATTGAAGTCAAAAGGATGGAAACTACTGAAATACAAAATTGTGTTTTTAAGCATTATTAATTTTGTTCAATTGTGTCTGATTTCGGTGCAACAGAGGTTTCGGGGGAGCCACATAACATGCGGTGTGATTGTGCCAGCCCGCCTGACGTGTGGGTTCTAGCGCAGAGGGTGAAGCGTTGAATAACAGACTGCGGACTAATTTCGAGACAGAAAACGTGTACCTCACTTTTGGGCACGTCCACAACAAAAAGTTAAAAAATGCACGTGTTAATTTCCCAGTGTATGTCTTTCCGTCTGCTGGCATGTAATTCCACATTCGAATAATGGATTTTCTCTTCATTTCACGAAAATGTGACAACTTCCAGATTCGGGTAAAGCAGAAGAACATAAGGAACACTTCATATGAAGACTTACATGTGGTTTCGCTCTTACGCAGTCTAACTCTTCTAACTCACTGAATACATATCGTAGGGAAAAATGTTACGAACAAAAGATAGAAAAAAACGAGGCATACGTTCCAAAAATTGTTTCCATACGTCTCATGATTTCCGAGATAAACCACCGAACTTGTTACGCTATGGGAACATTTCCGACCGCCTCTGTGGTCTAGTGGTCAGAGTTCCTGCCTAAAGATCCAGAAGTCCAGCGTTCGATTCTTGGCGCTACCAGATTTCCTGAGAAGTAGTGGGTCTGGAACGGTGTCCACTCAGCCTCGTGAGGATAACTGAGCAGCTACTTGAATGGAAAAGTATCGACTCCGGTCTAGAAAACCGAGATTAACGGCCGTGGTGATCCGTTGCGTTGATCACGCGACACCCTCTATCCGCTAAAGTTGGCACTAACTTCGTCGACAAGCGGCGATCGCTCGGTCGGTATAGTTCGCTTGCGGACTACAAGCCACGGAGTTTGTTTTTGTTTGTATGGGTACATTAGGTAGCAGCTTTGTTCACCCTTAGTGTACACGTGTCTGCGTCCCGAACGCATCAGTGGAAAGCTGTACTTACACGAACCATGTGATGTTTCCTTCTGATATATGGTAGTCTGAAGATTTTGCACCAACATAACGTTTCCTCTGAAGCAGGAAGTGTAACCTGCAAATAAAGGAGAAGTGTGTAGTAAGCTGTAGAAGGTAGATACACTGACAGTTACGTTTTCCTTGGTACTGTGTACAGTGAACAGAAACTGCAAGGTAAAATTGCTGACAAAAGTGGTTGGATATGAAGGAAAACGCCAAATTTTAAATACAAGGATTCGAAAGGATTTACAATATATTGCGTTTGAGTAACAATATTGAGGAATGATAAATGCATACAAAATTGTAGCGACAAATGTGAATGGAAGAAAACCTAAGTGAAAAAGTTAAGCCTATATGCAAGATGATATTGAAATGTATACTAAGGATACAGAGTGGAAGCATGGGAACTGGGTTAATTTGGACTAGAATGGGAAGAAATGGAAGGATCCTTGAATGCATTAGTAAATCTGCACTTTCCATAAAATGTCGGTATTTTCTTGAGTGTCTGAGTGACTATTCCGATCCATAGAGTTAAGTAAGAAAGCTTACTTACTTACTTACGGAGCTGAGCCCTTCTTGAGGAGAAGGAAAATCTGCAACTACTCAAGAATTTCCCAGCATTTTATGGAACCCGAAGGTTCATTACCGTGTTTACAAGAGCCCTCCACTGGTCCCTACCCTCAGCCAGATCTATCCAATCCATACCATCCCATCCTATCTCTCCAAGATTCATTCTAATATTGTCCACCCACCTACGCCTTGGTCTTCCCTGTAGTCTCTTTCCTTCTGGCTTTCCCACTAATATCCTATACGCATTCCTCGTCTCCCCCATTCGTGCTACATGACCTGCACATTTCATGCTCCTCGACTTGTTCATTCTAATTATACTTGGAGAAGAGTACAAGTTATGAAGCTCCTCATTATGCAGTTTTCTCCAACCTCCTGTTACTTCATCCCTCTTCGGTCCAAATATTCTCCTCAACACCCTGTTCTCAAACACCCTCAGTCTATGCTCCTCCCTTAATGTCAGAGACCAAGTTTCACACCCATACAGAACCACAGGCAAAATTATAGTTTTGTATATTCTAATTTTTATGTTTTTGGACAGCAGACGAGAAGACAAAAGGTTCTGGACTGAATGGTAGCAAGCATTACCCGAGTTCAGTCTCCTCTTAATTTCCTCCTGAATCAGGTTTCGATTTGCTATAGTCGTTCCCAGATATCAGAACTGTGGCACAGACGTCATAGGAAACAGATATCTGTAATCTGTATTACCCAAAACGCACTCAAATCCGCTGCAAGCCACAACTGTGATCCTTGGACTGTCTTGCGACCGTCATTACTGGCACGAATGGAAATGCTGAAATAATATTTTTCCTTGCTAAGATGGAATTACTAATGTTTACAATCAGATTTATATTATATGATTCCATATCCGTATTCAGAAAAACGATTAACTGGTTCAACTACGTAATGCCGAACAAGAGCTGGGAAGAATTAATCTCCTACTTTCCTCGATGCAACACGCAATGCAAAGAGAATGGCATGCCCAACAATTATTCTACTGTTGCGTGTGTATTCGTTGCAAAGGTAACGTTTTTACTGAGCCGTTGCCTAGCAACGGTAGTGGGATATACATATAAACAGAGAGATTGATTTGAGGGGGTCCCCCGTGTGGAGGTGGGGTCGAATACCTCCACTGTGCCCCTGCGAGTCATAGTAGGCGACAAAAAGGGAAGTCTCAAATCTGAGACAGTAAAATATGGTCGCGAGTCCCAAGGGACTAAAACCCGAGAAAGACTGCGCTGGCAAGGGCGAGTAGCATATAGAAAAGACAGACCCGTCCTCTCGTCAAAGAGGACGGCCTACAAAACAAGACCGTAACTGTCAAACGATAATAATTAATACCTGGTCATGAGCCCCAGATGTGGCTTGACACCAACACTTACTGACTGACTGACTAACCGTCAGTCGCAATGTGACTTTGACTTTGATGGGGGATGGGTTTTATGAAGCACGGCATTGAGACGGGCTCAGGTGCCATTATATATATAAGTCTCATACATGGATTCAGCCATTTAAAAGATGACAGGGAGGAACAGACAGACAGCATGGGGATCGCATAAGCCTACTTCAATTTTTTTTCGAAATAAAGAAAGAAGACTTAAAAGCTCTTCAGTTCCCTGGCATCCGTACTAAAACAAAATCTCTTTGCACCGTATCGCAAACTGCAAAACTTTCTACATATTTTCTGCAATAATATTAGGCATTTTTTTGAAAAAGAGTTACGCAACCACCATCACTGAGTTCTGCACTATGGAATATCTTTAGGCTGTCAACAGTGTTCATTTTATTAACATTTTTTTCGCAAGTATTTTCCTTGAATATTTCACTCCATTTTTCTAGGTCTAAGGCATTCAATTTTCAATTTCTCTGAAATATCTGTCATGATTTGCTTCTTCCATGCTTTCTTCCTTTATCTGCTTTTTCTCCCGCTTTATGTAGCGTCCTATTATTTATGCCTTATTATTTTATGTTTATTATTGCAGTTGATATTTATTCTTCACTGGTGATAACTGTGCTCTCCTTGCGGGTCAAATAGATTGAAGATGTATTGTCTCATTTTGTCACCTGATTGTAGGACTTGTCAGGAACACAGGAGGATAGAAATTCATCTTCATTTAAAACACTTACATTTAGGGGATGAATGTCTGTCACATTAAATCCTGCTTTACCAAAAGATCTTACTCAAATGTCTGTGACTTTATAAATGGTTGAACTTTTCCTCGGTTTCAGATTATCCAGCCATTGAGGCAAGAATTCTAGTATCCTTTATAGGGCCCAAATATCGCATGATTCAATTGTTGTAACTTGTGTGACGCATGGAGAGGGAATGTAAACATGGCAGTATTATCATATTGATGGCCTACGATTGATATGGGGAACGGGGGCTTTAGAAATTCAAGCTAGCTAGTTCTTCATTGAAAGGCGTTTCACACGCGATAAAATTTTGTTGATTGTCAAAAAGGAGATATTTATTTAACAGGCCTGTTGGGTTTCCTATTCCAGAAGAAGCTGTTGGGGGCACCAGACAACGTGGAAACCTTGAAACGTAATCCTGCAAATATTAACATTTAAGGGAATGAATGTTAATGGCATTTAGAACAATTATTGTAAGATTTAGTTCCCTCTGTCTTGAAGTTATTTACCCGTAATTTCCTTCAGCACAAATTATTATGGTAGGAACAAGAACAGAAGACTTGAGGTTTTCACGCGCGTCACTAGGAAGAATGCCGTCTTCTGGTATGTGACGCCGTGCAGATATTGCAGACTAAGACTGCGGCCATCTGCTTACGGTGGTTCCTCGCTTGCAGATTACCGTATTTACGCATGTATAGGCCGCGTACGTGTATAGGCCGCAGCACAATTTTCAGACAGAAATTATAGAAAAAATAATTTTCTTGGAATATTATTTCAGGAGTATTACACCCTGTATTACTAATTATGAATATAATTTTTTTTTAAATGAAGTGTGATTTCGAATATTTCGAATATAAGCCGCACCCCAGTTTTCCTCTTGAATTTTTGGCAAAAAATGTGCGGCCTATACATGCGTAAATACGGTATTTCTTTTTTCCTTCTACCCTGAAGATGGAACCGATTATCTAGATAATATGGGATCCTCAACGTTTCACAACCCTATGGACCCTACGGGCCTACCCTTCCTACCGTGGCGGCTCAGGTTCGATCACGGGTCTGGTCAAGTGGGATTTGTGGTGGACAAAGTGACGCTGGGGCAGGTTTTCTCCGAGTACTTCGGTTTCCCCTGCCAATCTTCATTCCACCAATTGCTCCACAATCACCCTCACCTATCATCTGGGGCTGGTACAATAGGCCAGAAGTGGTCGCGGTACAAGGGACTTAGTCCGACCCCACTAGCATTAAAAATCAAACATTTTGGTTCCATCAAATATTGGTTTTCTGACAAGCTGAGGGCTTGTTAGCGTCTCAAGGAGTGTGCTCCACTAGTTAATTTGACTGCATGACTCTATCTTCTACCCTGAAGATTGTGGTAGGAGACTCATGCGAAATCTTCATGTTTAACGCCGTAACAACTCAAAGCTTGCATGCACTGCCATTTCATTTCTTCGCAATTTTTTAGTTGAATTTCGAGAAAGATTAAAAAATATAAATTATGTTCACCTTGAATATCCCAAAATCAACATTATTAATTTTTTATCACTCCAGTAAATATGGAGATTACAAAGCCTTCTTTTTTACGGCGCCCATGTGTAGAGCTACAGTTTGGCTATGACTGTACTTTCGACCTAATCTGACTAAAACAATAGGGCCCAGGAACAAAAAGCTGTACTCGCAGCCAGCACAGGCCTGGTAATTCGTCACACGCATAATAAAACCTCACACATACATGAACGGTTACATAACCACGAACAAATGACAAGGAAAGAGATATGAAGAGAGAGACAGGAGATAAAGAATAAAAAATGTTTGGTGATTCTACAACATCCACAAAATATGAGCTATAATTAGGCATTTTTCTCTGGCCAGAATCACAAACCGTGACAGATTTACAAAGCTTGGAAATGAAACGACACGAGCAGCTTGACATCTCTCTGCTTTGTTTACAAGCGCGCCTCCTGAGAACTACTCCCCCTTTCACCTCTCAGACACACCCCAATTATATCTTGAAGTATACGACAAGATTACTTACTTCACACACTGCCACGGCGTTGTCTGCACACTCTCGAGCGAAATTGTTATAGTTCTACATATTCTGAAAAAAAAAACTCCTTTCCTGTCATTCCAGATATACAGGCTGTAATAAGAGCATGAGGACAAATTTTCGAGCACGAGTTCCACATAAAGAAACAAGAAAAAATATCCGGAAATATTTGAGTTACAAGTTATAGCTGAAAGAGTATAATTGCAATAGAAAACAAAAAACAAACAAATTCCGTGGTTTCAGTCCGCAAGCGAATTATACCGACCGAGCGACAGCCGCTTGTAGGCGAAGTTAGTACCAACTTCAGCGGATAGAGGGTGTTGCGTGGTCAG